GTGGCTTTGGCTTGGTCCCCGGCGTGGGGGCGTTGGTGGCGGTTGAGGTGGGAGCTGCGGCTGAAGCACTTCCCGCACTCGGGGCACTTGTAGGGCTTCTCGCCGGTGTGGACGCGGTGGTGGATGGTGAGCTCGGAGCGCTGGATGAAGCTCTTCCCGCACTCGGAGCACTGGTAGGGCTTCTCCCCGAGGTGGATCCTCTGGTGCTTGATGAGGTTGGAGGAGACGCTGAAGCACTTCCCGCAGACGTTGCACTTGTAGGGCTTCTCCCCCGTGTGCATCCGGCGGTGCTTGGTCAGGTCGGATTTCTGGATGAAGCCCTTCCCGCAGTCCGGGCACTTGTAGGGCTTCTCCCCAAGGTGGGTCCGTTGGTGCTTGATGAGGTTGGAGCGGACGCCGAAGCTCTTCCCGCAGTCCCCACACTTGTAGGGCTTCTCCCCCGTGTGCATCCGCCGGTGCTTGACCAGGGCCGAGTTCTGGCCGAAGCTCTTCCCACACTCAGGGCAGGTGTAGGGCTTCTCCCCAGTCTGTGTCCCCTGGTGCTTGACGTTCTCCGTGAAGCTCTTCCCGCACTCGCTGCACTTGTGGGTCCTTTCCGGCGCCGGTCGAGGTCGAGATGCCCAAAAGAAGCTTTTCCCACACTCGGTGCATTTACAAGCTCGTTCTCCAGCACCGCCCAAGAGCCGCCGGCGTTTGGTGGAGGCCAAGAAGCTCTTCCCACAGTCGGTGCATTGACAAGGTTGCTCGGAGCCGGCGTGGACGCGTTGGTGCCTCTCCAAGTGGGAACTCTGGGAGAAGCTCTTCCCGCAGTCGCCGCAGCGAAAAGGCTTTTCCCCCATGTGGATCCGGCGGTGCCGGTCGAGGTGGGAACTCCAGCTGAAGCTCTTCCCGCACTCCGGGCAGGCGTAGGGTTTCTCGCCCGTGTGGATCCTCCGGTGCCGCTCCAGGTGGGAATTCCAGTTGAAGCCTTTCCCGCAGTCCCCGCACTTGTAGGGTTTCTCTTCCAGGTGGAGTTTTTGGTGCTTCACCAAACTGGAAGTGACTGGGAAGCTCTTCCCACAGACCCCACACTGGCAGGGGGCGGCGCCGCTCCCGCCGTGGACCCGTTGGTGCTGGATGAAGGCGGAACCGACGCTGAAGCTCTTCCCACAGTCGGGGCACTTGTAGGGCTTCTCCCCGGCGTGTCGGCGCTGGTGGGTGATGAGGGTGGAGCTGAGACGGAAACATTTCCCACATTCCGGGCATTTATGGGGCCTCTCGGGCCCTCGGCGGCGTTTGGGGAAGGTTGACCCAAAAGCCAAAGTCTTCCCACAGTCGTGGCAACGACCGTGACCCAACAGGGCCCGGGGTGGGAATTTCTTGAAGTTCCGGTGACTCGATTTCCCCTGGCGCTTCCCCGGGGCTTTTTTGGGCTGGTTCTCTGGTTTTGGGGGGCTGTCGTTGGGTTTGGAGCCCTCAGCACCAGTTGGGCTGGTCCCTTTGGGCTTGGCCACCGGTGTCCCCTCCGTGTCCACCTTCTCCAGCTCCCCCGGGGGTGGATCCTCCTCCTCGTTCTCGCTCAACAACCCCTCGTCTGCGGGGGAAGAAAAGGGGGTGAGGACCCAGGGAACCCCACGACTGGTTCTCATGAAGCTCAACCCTGGCGACCTGGGTGGTTTTGGGGGCGCTAATTAAGGCCAATTCGTTCACTTTTCACCTCCCCCGGGGTCTTGGTGGGCTCCCAGCACCACGTGCTTGGTTGTCACCGGTCACCAACACTGGTGAACCCCCCCCCCAGGCTCATTTTAAGCTCAATCTTGGTGATTTGGGTGGTTTTATGACCAATTCATTCCATTTTCATCTCCAAAATGGTCTTGGTGGGCTTCCAAAAATACGTTCTTGGCCACCAATGGCCACCAATCATCTCTGGTGGGACTCGGTGAAGGGGGTGATCTGGTGAACCCCCCTCTGGGCTCTTTTTAAGCCCAATCCTGTCGATTTGGGTGGTTTTATGACCAATTCATTCCATTTTCACCTCCAAAATGGTCTTGGTGGGCTTCCAAAAATACGTTCTTGGCCACCAATCATATCTGGTGGGACTCGGTGAAGGGTGAACCCCCCTCCGGGCTCTTTTTAACCCCAACCCTGTCGATTTGGGTGGTTTTATGACCAATTCATTCCATTTTCACCTCCAAAATGGTCTTGGTGGGCTTCCAACCCCACGTTCTTGTCCACCAATGGCCACCAATCCTCTCTGGTGGGACTCGGTGAAGGGGGAACCCCCCTCCGGGCTCTTTTTAACCCCAACCCTGTCGATTTGGGTGGTTTTATGACCAATTCATTCCATTTTCACCTCCAAAATGGTCTTGGTGGGCTTCCAACCCCACGTTCTTGTCCACCAATGGCCACCAATCCTCTCTGGTGGGACTCGGTGAAGGGGGAACCCCCCTCCGGGCTCTTTTTAACCCCAACCCTGTCGATTTGGGTGGTTTTATGACCAATTCATTCCATTTTCACCTCCAAAATGGTCTTGGTGGGCTTCCAACCCCACGTTCTTGTCCACCAATGGCCACCAATCCTCTCTGGTGGGACTCGGTGAAGGGGGAACCCCCCTCCGGGCTCTTTTTAACCCCAACCCTGTCGATTTGGGTGGTTTTATGACCAATTCATTCCATTTTCACCTCCAAAATGGTCTTGGTGGGCTTCCAACCCCACGTTCTTGTCCACCAATGGCCACCAGTCCTCTCTGGTGGGACTCAGTGAAGGGGGTGATCTGGTGAACCCCCCTCTGGGCTCTTTTTAAGCTCAATCCTGTCGATTTGGGTGGTTTTAAGGCCAATTCACCCCATTTTCATGCCCCCCACGATCTTGGTGGGCTCCCAACCCCACGTTCTTGGCCACCAATGGTCACCAGACCTCTCTGGTGGGACTCGGTGAAGAGGGTGATCTGATGAACCCCCCTCTGGGCTCTTTTTAAGCTCAATCCTGTCGATTTGGGTGGTTTTAAGGCCAATTCACCCCATTTTCATGCCCCCCACGATCTTGGTGGGCTCCCAACCCCACGTCCTTGCCCAGACTCACCAGCCCCCAGGCCCCTCCTCCGGTGGGACTCGGCGAAGGCCGTGATCCTTGGCCAGCTGATGGCGATCTCCTCGGCTGCGGGGACAGGGGGTGGACGCCCCAATTTAGTCCTTTTTCACCCCCAAAAAAAAATCCAGCCCCCCAAAAGGGGGGTGAGACCCCGAGGGGCACCCAATGAAACCAGGGGTAGAAATGGGGGGGTCCCAGTTTCTCCTCCCTCCCCTTTCCCCGAGTTCTTTTTGAGGCTCAATCCTGGTGATTTGGGTTGTTTTCCACCATTAATTAATGTGGCCATTAATTAAGGCCAATTAATTCACCCACAATTATTAATAATGAAGGAGAAATTAAGAGGAGCCCCCATCAAACCAGGGGTAGAAATGGGGGTCCCAGTTCCCCTCCCCCCCCCCAAGGGCTCAATTTAAGCTCAATCCTGGTGATTTGGGTTGTTTTCCACCATTATTAATGTGGCCATTAATTAAGGCAAATTAATTCACCCAGAATCATTAATAATGAAGGAGAAATTAAGAGGGGCACCCATCAAACCACAGGTAGAAATGGGGGTCCCAGTTTCTCCTCCCTCCCCTTTCCCCGAGTTCTTTTTGAGGCTCAATCCTGGTGATTTGGGTTGTTTTCCACTATTAATTAATGTGGCCGTTAATTAAGGCAAATTAATTCACCCGGAATCATTAATAATGAAGGAGAAATAATGAAGGAGAAATTAGGAGGAGCCCCCATCAAACCAGGGGTAGAAATGGGGGTCCCAGTTCCCCTCCCCCCCCCAAGGGCTCAATCCTGGTGATTTTGGTGGTTTTACACTCTTCTTCTTTCCACCATTAATTAAGGCTAATTAATTAAATCCAATTAACCTGGAATTATTAATAATGAAGGAGAAATTAAGAGGAGCC